GAGATGCAGGAGAAACCACTTAGATCTGAGATGACTTTAGGGCTGCTGAATGTCTGAAATATTTATGCTTCACTACTGTGATGACATAAGTGTTTGTTATTTCCAAGTGTCTTCTTTGTATAGGAATGTCCCCTGTGTTCTCAGTGAATGCTTTGGTCACTCATTTGGCCTTCTGTTCGACAGAAGAATAAATCTATTGGCTCCATAACTTGTGTCTTTTCTTTCACTTAGTCTGAACCTTTCCTTGTACTGTTGATTAAGGAATGGCTAGCTGGGCTTGTTCCAGTCTGGAAAGATGATCAAAGAGATTTAATGAAGGTCCCTTTGCAGACTTGCCTTTTCCTTAGCCTTCCCAGACTAAAAATAAGCAGGAGAGACCTGGGAATTAGAAGGCACGAGGAAAATACACTTAATGATGCTGCTTTATCAGTTTGTTTGTGACTGGTCGTTATGGGTGTATGTTCCTTGATGCTGAATCACTATCACATCAGATTTAGTGTATGGTAATTTAATGGTGGTACAAGAAACCTGTCTCTGTTTCTAAATAAGGGATACTTAATGAAGGTATGAAGAAGAAAGGCACAACTTCTCACCACTAAAGTGACTCTCTGTATGACTTTTTTCCTTCCTTTGCCTCTCTAGCCCCTTATCCATGTCTTTGCAAAGAACCTAGTGATGTTCGTGTCTCAAGAAGCAGGAAACAAGCCTGTTCTCCTGGCTCTGGCCTTGAAGGAAAAAAGTGTGGAAGGGGTAAGAGCCCTGAAGGAAGTGATTCGGAGCTGCCAGGTGTGGTGAAACAAGGCCCTGCCGGATATTCCAGGGGAAAGCTCTTGAATCAAGAAATCATAACTCTTCTTCTGAAGGAACCTTTTATTTTCTTATGGCTTATAGCCCATGCTGCTGAGAGAGAACTGTTTTCACATCTCAGAATAAACTCAGTTTGGTTTTGATACTACTATTGGGGGTGGGGGAGGGGCTTATTTCTTTGTAAGTCTGTGAATGGTTTTCCATCGAGATCCACAGAGTTGCATGCATTTGAGAATTGTTACAGTGAATCATCCTACTGGATGGGATCCCCTGTGTTCTGTGTATAGCATCAGTTGCAGGAGGAATTTTCAAAGAGAGAACAAAGCCAAGTAGTAGTCAGTGCTCATTTATTTCTTACATAGTAAACATCTCAATTGCACAAGCCCCAACATTCCAAAACTATGAATGTAATTAAAAGTACTCTAGATGTATGAAAACTTGGTTGATAAGGAATAATAGGTATGTGACCCACATTGTTCAAATAAATACTGGGAATTAATCTTAGCATTATACAAAAATTATAATTTTTAGGCTCCACTTGTTTTCTCTCTCTCTCTCTCTTTTCCTTGGGTTCTTCTTTTTGTAGCCTCTGATGTACTGTTGAAAAGAAAATCCAGGGGCAGATGGGTGGCCCAGTGGATAGAGCACCAGCCCTGAAGTCAGGAGGACCTGAGTTCAAATCTGACCTCAGACCAAACACTTGACACTTAATAGCTGTGTGACCCTGGGCAAGTCACTTAACCGAAATTGCCACAAAAAGAAAGAAAAGAAAATCCAAAATAAAGTGTTCTAACCAAGAATGGCAGTTCTATGCATCAAGCATCAGACAGGATCCAGAAGGAACCTCAGAGGCCATTTGGTCCAGTATCCCTTATTTTACAGATGAGGAAACTGAAGCCCTTTGAGATAAAGCGACCCACCCAGGGTTTCACAAGTCGTTAGTGTCAGAGGTAGGATTTGAACTCAGGTCTTTTCAAATCCAGAGCCAGCACCCTTTCCACTGGTCTGATATTCCATTGTCTTTAATCCTTTTCCTCACTGAACCTTACAGAAACCTAGGACTTCCAGACTCTTTCTTTATTAGTAGAAAAAGTAGTAATATCGTATGGTTGTACCCGACAGCAAGAAGATGAAAACCAGTAAATTGGGTCTTCATGCAAACTGAAAGGCCTTTTATAAGAAAATAGGTGATGCAGGATGTGAGTGACAGCAACGTGCCTTTCAGTCAAAACCCAGGCTTGGCGTGAACAGGGAATACATGTACTTACTGACTTCAAACCACTGTCTTCTGTTCCTGGGAAATAAAACTTAAGACTGTGTTCCTTGAAATAGACTGGTAAGGAGCTTGACTTCAGAGAATTGGGAGAATATACCTCTCGCCTTGCATTGCAGAGATAGGGAACTAGAGGTATGCTGTATGTAGTGCCAACTGCAATGGGTGCTTTGGTCTTGTGGAACTGGTTTCTTTCTCTTGAAATTTTTGCCATAAGGGCAGGGTTCACTGAAGAGGTAGGAAGGAAGATATTCATAAATGAATGTGATAAACAAAAGGCATCAGTAAGTTTTCAACAATACTGGTTAGAAGTATCTGACCTCGGTTCCTTTATAAGGTCACAAAACAATACTTGAAAATAACTTTTTCTCAGACTAAAGGCTTCTGAAATTCTCCTGGGATTGTCTTTGTTTTATAAACTCTTCTATGGTATGATAGGGAGGAGCACTTTAAACCATTGGTCCAGGGGGGAAATAATGGCACATTTGCAGCAGATGGGAACCAAGTAAAGCTAATTATCTTTCTTGTTGACATATCAATCTGTGATTTCTGACGTGATTTATTGTTTTGGATCTTTTGCTTTTCACTGTAGAACCTTGATTTCTGTGTAACAAGTGAAGAGACTGAAACACAAGGTGGAATGTGTGTCAGAGAGAAAGAGAGATTAGGCAGGGTTTGCTGTCTTTGATTTTCTAGGTTCTTGATTAGTACTTAGATGAAGGCTTCTAAGCCTGTTGGTCCTTTTTGATTTTGAAGCTGTAACTGTGAATCAAGGGAACTGTCTTTAAACAAGAGCTCTTGAAAGATAGTTGCACCTCCATGATTCTGGCCCTTATCATGGATGTGGACCTGAAACTGGCGTGTTCTTACTGCTTTCTGTAAGCCATGTTTATTTACAGCCACACAGAGCATATGGTCACCATTAAAAACAAAAGCAAAACCTGATACTAAATGCCTCAGTCCGTTAAGCCAATGCCTTATTGCTTGCCTGTGCCTTATAAATCAGAGCACGTGACTGGTGTGCAAAAGGCACCTGGCCCCCAGCTTCCATCAGTGCTCAGCTCACAGCTGCTATAATTCAGAAGGTGAGATACATGCACCAGTAAAGAGATCTATAAACCTGGCGGGTTTCACGGGAAGGAGCTGTCTGCTTTTTAGAAATTGTTATTCCTTTAGCAGGAAAAGCTGCATGTGGTGCTTATCCAGTGATCAAACTGTAATTACAACTTTTAGCAGGTTTATGTCCAAGGGTAAATAACGAGAATTGGGCTAATTTTCTGTCCCCTATAGCACTGCTGGTAGATTCAGGTTGACTTTTTCTAGGCAATGCCCTTGGACAAACAGGGTTTGATTTGTCAACTACTATTTCATGCTGAACTGTTAACCAGAACTCCTATTAGGCAGACCCAGCTGCTCAGATTCACCTTTTTTTTTTTTTTAATAAAAAGGACTTTGGGGATAAGGGTTCAGGGAATTGACTCTTGGTGGTCTGGGGGCTCACAAAGAAAAACAAATTTTCACTTGTAGCCTTTCAAGTGAGCTTTCAAGCATCTTCTCTGGGTATTTGGAAGAACCTTGAGAACACCCGAACAAATGATGACAAATAACTCATGGAATAAAATAGAAAACACAGGGAGGTGGGCTGAGAGTGTGTTGGCTTTTGTTATTAGTTTGGAACATCACAGTGAAATTGGAAATCAGAAGAACAGTGACCAGATAAGTGACGAGAATGATGGACTGGATCGATGGGAATGAAATGAAAAAAAAAACCTGAATGATGTGGAAGATGACTACAGAAAGGTTTTCTGTCATCTTGGTTTTATAGTTTGGCATCACAGTAAGAAAAATAGAGGACAAACCCCATCTGTGTGTGGATGAAGCATAGTTTCGGTCTAAAATGAGGATTCATAAATTCCAGAGATATTGTGAAAAGGTGGAGGGCATTCAATGAATTGGAGAAGTATGAGAACTTTTCAGAAAGCAGCATAATCTTTTAACTCTTTTTTTATGACGATTTTGCTATTTTATGTTACCGGGACTCTGATGGAAATAGGTGAATCTGAACTACGTCCACCTTTGAATTATTACAGTAAATAGCAGCAAAACCCCTGGGTGTACACATTGGGTGGGAGTTGAAGGGGCACCCCCCCAGAAGCTGAAGCAAAGTGAAAGCAGTTAGATGTCGGGACTGGAGTCTGGAAGACTTGTGTTCAAGTCCAGCCTCAGACACCTACTAGTTGGGTGACTTTGGGCAAGCCATTTGCCCTCAGCTTGCCTCAGTCTCCTCATCTGAAAAAGAGATAATAGCATCTACCTCCCAGGGTTGTTGTGAGGATCAAAAGAGATGATAATTGTGAAGTGCTTGGCACTCAGTAAGCACTAAATAAACATGGGCTATTATTATTGTCATGTTCTTCAAGGAGAAGAGAAATGTGATGTTTTAGAATGGGAAGAAAATAGAAAGGAATTGGGGGAGGGAGGGTGAAGGAGCATATAGAAAGAAAAAAAAGGCTTCAGGAGAAAAGAGATTTGAACTAACAAAGGCCCCTGGCAGAAAACAGGGAATCATGCCCATATTAGAGGGCACAGGGCATGTTTATTTAGCGTCAGTAAGGAAATAAAACTCCTCCTACCCCCTTTATGAATCATTGACAACGTTCTGTTTTTTGTTGTATTTTTTTTAAGAGGCAGCATGTTAAAGACAAGTGGTCTTCAAATAGCTTGAGAAAGGAGGAGAAATTTATATAGGAGAGAATAAAGTGGGCTCTGGGCAGATTTGACAGGACCCAGGTGCTGTGTAACCTGGCACAGGCATAGGGACAGGGGCTGGGAAGTGAAGAAAGGAAGAGGGAGGAGGGACTTAGGGTTAGGCAGGGTGGAGCTGGATGTACCTGTAAGCTCAATAGGTATAAGGCTGGGAGGAGTTTGGTGCTTAGGGAAAAAGCAGATGCACTATTGGGAGTCCTGTATAGAGCAGAAGCCATTGGAGAGGGGACTAGGGTTCCCCTTGGGAGAAATCAGGGGCCAAGATTAGCTTGAGTGGGAACTTGGTGTTTCAGGTCAAGGCTGGGTGAATCTGGTTAGGATTCCTTTCCTCTAAAGGCCTTCTGCAGTACTGCAGGGTTTGGCATCAACCCTCAAGGAGCTGGGAGAGGCAATCGGGCTGGAGCCAGAAACTAACCAGTAAGGTGAGCTACCACCAGGGAGGGATATGCTAGGAAAGGGGATTGCTTTTGAGTTAACTGGGTGGGTCTGGTCGCTACCTCACTACTATTCCCTGAATCTTGGATCCTAAGACTTACTAGGTGTTTGTATGAAGTGAGATGGGGTGTCGGGAAGGAGGATAGAGATCTCCTTGGAGAGTCTTCACTGAAATCAAAGCTGAGAAAAATCACAACCCTATGATCCAGATGGCCCAGTTGTGTCTACATGCCAGTCTTCCTCACTATACCCCAGGCCAACCTTGGAACTTGCCTCTTCATTCCCACCCTATTTACAAAGAAGTATCCTCAAATACATTGACCTTCCAGACTGTCTTAACTACCTTGGACGGGTCAGAAAGGTACCTCTCCCCTCTTTGTCATCTATACTCAGAGCAATATCTTTAATATGACATGCAAGTAAGCATGAGTCCTGGGGCAGCCACCTTCTTGAAAACTAGCAACTGGTTCCTAGAGCAAAGCTGTCCCATAGACTTTTAGAAACAAAGGATGTGGCTTGGGGAATGCCCTTTATGCATGAGAGCTATGCACTGAGAGAGAAAGAGTTCACTTGGGAGAGACAAACAGCAAGGAAGGAAGACTATAGGAGAGGTTAAAAAAAATGGAAGAGAGTGGAGAAAGAGTAGGGCATAGAGAAAAAGATGTCCCCAGACAAAAGGGAGAAAGCATGTCCCTGCCACAGGGAGGCACATTGGTCACTGGTTTTATTCATCTTTTGTCCCACATGATAGAGAGCCGAAGATTGAGGACTGGGTATATGGAAATTAAGCACAACAGGAAAGCCAAAAGTTTGCTTGTAATATCTAGAAATGCAAGGAAACCTGGAATAATTGGAGAGTACTAGTACTGCCCCAAGCCCAGGAACCAGGAAATTTAGTTCTTCTAGCCACCCGCAGGGCTGTTCTAGCTGTATGTGCTAGTGAGGATTTTTTTCCCCCCAAGAACATTGGTCTCCAAATTAGGTAAATAACCTAACTTCCAGTCCTTAACCTTTAAGTGCAATGGGAGGAATTCTAGATTTGGAATCAGAAGACCTGGGTTCAATCCTAGCCCGGCTAATTATTGCCTAGGTGACCTTGGGCAGGTGAATGTCTTTGGGACTCAGTTTTCTTATCTGTAAAATTAGGAGGTTGGGCTAGATGACCTACAAAGGTCTGCCAGTTCTAACTTTATAATCCTTAGAAAGACTGTGAGAAACCTATCCACTTGTTTTAAAAGGGGCAAAGATAGGGGCAGCTAGGTGGCTTAGCGAATAGAGCTCTGGCCTTGGAGTCAGGAGGACCTGAGTTCAAATTTGGCCTCAGACACTTGAAACTTAACTAACTATGTGACCCTGGGCAAGTCATTTAACCTCGATTGCCTCAGAAAAAAGAAAAAGGGGCAGGACAAAGATCATAATCAAAGTGATCAATCAACAGGCACTTATTGATCATCTAATATTAACCTACACAGCTCCTGCGACAGGGCTGGGTACCAAAGAAATGGAAGACACTGTCTCATTAGACCGAGTTTCGGAAGAGTAGGAACAGGTTTTTGTCTTTCTTTGTGTCCCCATCCCTTAGCTCAGTGCCTGGCAGTCAGTCAGTCAATGTGCATTTATTTAACATTTGTTTGCCAGGTGCTATGCTAAGTGATAAGGATAACCAGAAAAACAAAAACCAGTCTCTTCTCTCCAGGAGTTCACGTTCTAATGGGATGAAGTAGGTGTTTAAGAAGTTTGAATTTGGGCAGCTAGGTGGCTTGGTGGATAGAGCACTGGCCCTGAAAGTCAGGAAGACCTGAGTTCAAATCTGGCCAAACACTTGACACTAGCTGTGTGACCCTGGGTAAGTCACTTAACCCTAACTGCCTTAAAAAACAAGTGCTTATTGAAATCCTTGTTGACTCAGCCTTTGGGTTTTGAAGATCGGGTAGTCAAGGGGAAGACAGGGTAGTTGGGTATTCATCTTCATCCCTTCTCTTTCCATATTCCTAGTCCCCAATCCCAAACTTCACACCCTGACTTCAGCTTCACAGATGCCCCACACTGGGACAGTGACAAAAAAAATCCCAGAACAGGAATTAGTCATTGGGGCTGCCCAGAGAAGCATCTCTGGAGTGCTTGGTACTAGCTCCAAAAGCCACAGGAGGCTGGAGGTTTTGGTTTTGTTTTTTAAAGAGAAAAATTATTTTCTTACCTGCTAAGTTCTTTTATCTGGGTAATTAACCACAGTCAAGATGGCACAAGGTCTAAGAAGACTGGAGGCCAGGAGCCAATTTTTTCAAAAGTAGTATGAAGGATATTTTGGTGAATTCTTGTTGGACAAGTGCCAAGGTTTAAAGTGAGTTTAGACAAGGTGATAAAGTAATTGGAATAGTTAAAAGGCAGTATTGCTGGGTCAGCCAGTGAAGTGTACAAGTGGTCAAGGTAGATAGTGTTTGGCTATTTAGAAGGGGCTGGACAATGACATGAACACCTTAGAGCTGGGTGAGCCAAAAATCTCTCTTGGGCACTAGTTGATTGGGGGTCAGGAAAAAACATTGAATAATTCTCTTAAGTGTATCTGCAACCATCTCCTGAGAAACTGGTTCAGGAACTAGAAGCCGGAAGGACCTTAAGGTAGATTGGCTGAATTTCTGAATAGAAGGCCCTAATCCTTTGTCTCTGTGGCTGAGGAGGAGCTTTGTTAGACCACTGGGTCCAATTTGGATGAAATCTGACCAAAGGCTCTTACCCCTATGAGTGGGTGTGGGACCTGAGGCATTCTCCTCATCTCCAGCATTCATCTTTACCTGCCCTCTGTGATTTTCAGAAAGCTTCCAGACAGCCTGCCTGGGGAAAATGGCCCTTCTGCAAGGGAGTGTCTAGGGTTTCATTCTTTCTTGTGGTGCTCTCTGAGTGGTCAGACTCTAACCTGTTCTCTCCCCAGGGACACCATTTTCCAGTCCCCTCACTTTCCCAAACCCAGTTTGCTTTGTTCATTGTGAGTGGTTGTTGGCCCGGCCTCCACTTGGGCTGCAGTTACCAAACTGGGAGGTTGGCCCAGGAGGGAAGGGGGGGTGGGGAGAAAGGAGAAATGCCATGTCGCATGGGGCCTCTCAGCTCACCACACCCCACTGCTGATTGGTAGATAATTCTCCCAAATTTGGGGTCAGATCCTGAGGGACAGAGAGTATTATTTCTCAGGGAAAGAGAATTTTACCTGAGCTTCGGGTCCAAGGAAGAATTTAATATATCTGTGGCTAGAGCTGGTCCAGAGATAAAGTAGATTGGTCAGTCTTGCCCTTGACTCCTCATCTGGAGAACCCCTCCGTTGCTATGGGATCCAGTCCCCTGGATTAGCAGAGTGCCTCAGGCAAATGACAGGTAATAATAATAATAATAGTAATTAACAGCAACATTTTGTCAGAGGTTCTTAATTCTGTTTGTGTCATGGACCCCTCTGGCAGTCTGGTGAAGTCTATCAACCTCTTCATACAATAATATTTTGAAATGTATACATACATACATACATACATACATACATACATACATAGGGTTAAAAAGAAAACCAATCATATTGAAATATAATTATCTGTTTGAAAAAAGTTCACAAACCCCAAGTTAAGAACCCCTGATTTATATAGCATTTTAAGTCTTACATTATTATTGTTATAAGGTTTACATTATTATCTCATTTGAGCCTCACAACAACCTGTAGAGGTAAGTGTTATTATTCCTATTTTACAGATGAGGAAACTGAGGCCCAAAGAATTTAAATGACTTGCCTGGATCCCCCCGATAATAAGTGTCAAAGACAGGATCTGAATGCAGGTATTAGGTACTTGAAGGGACATCTACCATGTCACCTAGCTAGAGAAAAAAATAGTGTGCTTTAAACCAAAAAAAAAAAAATTAACTGAGGCCCACATATAACCCATTATCACATTAGTCATGATTGGGATTGATTATGTGGAAAAAATGTCATCCTTTAGTTATATCTATCTCAACTCTGCCACCTTAAAAACAAACAAACTCTATGTGACTTTGAGCAAGTGACTTAACCTCTCTGGTCCTCAGTTTCTTCATCGTTCCAATGACATTGGACGAGGTGACCTCTGAGGTCCGTATCATCTCTAAATCAATGATCTGAGTTTTTCTCTTCGGCTTCTGCTTTACCCTGACAGACTCCTGACTCCTGACTATTTTTCTGGTTACTCTCGGACTTCTGCTGATCAAAGCTGCCTTTGACATTCATTTGTAACCAGATTTCACCCGGCTAAAAATGTTAGCAGAGTCTAGGGAATTACTCCATCCAATTCAATCTGCCCCAAGCTCTGCCTCTCACAAAGAGTGGACCATTCCACAGCTCCTCAGCAGTGCGATACTGAGCAGTGCTGAACTTCAAATCAGGTGGGACCTGAGTTTGAATCTTGTCTCAAGACACTTACTAGTTGTGTGAGCCTGGGAAATCAAATCTCTCTGGACCTCTGTCTCCTTCCCCGTAAAATGCTAGTGTTGTACGTGACTTTACAGGTCCCTCTGATCTTGTAGAAGCGGTCCCTGCTGCTGTTTTTAAGCTAACTCAATAAAAAAAGAGGTTGTGGACTGCATTTATGGCAAAGAATGGAGCTGGAGGGAGGACAGATTTGAGAGGGTGCTTTCAAGCCTGACTCCAGCTCGTTCATTTGTACCTGCGGCTCAAGGCATACCTTCTTAAGCCTGGCCTCATAGGTATATGGAGTAGGGAGTTGTCCCACTGTGCTGATTGGAAGGATGCTAGGAAGCCCCCCTGCCCAAATACAGTTCTTGGGCTGAACTGTCCCTGAAGTCTGAAGGGCTGCCATAATTCATTTCTTTTGGGTTAAGCATTACCGTCTCCCTGGGGTCATCTTTTAAAAATACAAATACTGCTGGGAAAGAGGTAACACTATTAAGTTCCTAATATGGAAGTGTAAATGTACTTATCAGATGACTTTGTCCCTTGGCAGGAGACAGCGTTGCAGCC